TGTGTGCGCAGGATGAGATGAGATAGAAGTGGCACAGGAAATCTGTAAAGCTTTCTTGCTGACGACGCTTTTTGTCCCAAACTGGCTGTTCCTGCAGTAAGTGCTTCCAAAAGCACTATTACAATGCAGTGTGTAGAGGCCTCTGAAATAGGAAGTTCACAGCTTACCTTTCTTAAAAATCCATGTGTCAATCACTAGAAGAATGCACATAAATCCTATTGCAATCAGTAATAGCAATATACATCTATGCTTATATATATATATGTAAGTATATTTGGTACTCAAAGGATTTTCTAGCCTTATTCCAAGGTATCGAGGACATGTGTGTTAAAATAACCATGGTACTGTAGAACAGTCTTGTAAATACCATATGTCAGAGGAAAAAATATACAGCTAAATGCATGTCGGCATCAGCTCCTGCAGTTTCGTAGGAGTTCTGGCCATGGAAGTGAAGCAAAGCTGGACCAGCTGAAGGTTATAGTTTTACATAGAGCTTACGCTGCGCTTTGAAAGGACATCTGAGGTGGTGTTTAGAGAACTGTACTGGGACCCAGCAGGCTGGTAGTAAGCTCCTGTTCTGCTGCAAATTTCCTCCATGAAGTTGGGTTGTCAATTAGGTTTTTTTTTTTTTTCTCTCAGCAAAATAGGAATAATAGTGCTTGCTTTTTCCCAATCTTTAGTTAGTCTTATTTATCTAGACTGTAAGCTCTTGAGAGAAGGAATTGCATCTGGTAATGTTAGCTACAATCCATTCAGTGGAACTCTTTTAAAGCTGGAGTTAACAACTTTGTAATCAGATACTGAAAGGTGCAGTCCCAAAGGAAATGTGCTAATGACAGAACTACAGTGGGAAGGGAAAGCTGGATAGGAAGAAGAGATGAAAAAATCTGAAGCATCTATTTTACTGCTCCCTGAGCAGAACTTAAATTGTATTCGACAGACCCAGAACCCAGACAGCATATGGATAACCATACTGGTAGAAGTGACTTCAGGTCTCACAGTCCACAGACTCCCCACCAATGCTCCTCCCTAAACAGTTGGTTTGGGCTTCTCCTGAGTTCTAGATCAAAGTCTTGACAAAGCTAAGAGCAGATGTATTTTTCCCACAATCTCTTCAGTCTGTGTAGATGTGGAAGAAAAGAACAAAAGACCCTTGCACTCACGAGGAGGTGCAAGGAGGGGATCAAAAACCAGAAATTACAAAATACTGAAAAGGTACCTGTATGATTTTCAGTAATTTACCAAAAATGAGGTAGGGCCATAATTGTCCAGGGATGGCATTAAAGACTTCCTCGGTCTTTTCCAAGTAAGCTTGGCTGTCTTAATGTATTTGATGCCGGGCGTAGGTCATGTCAGTTTTCTGGGAAAAAGGTTGCAAACCATAATTTGCTTATATAACCTGCAAAGTTGTTGGAGCCTACAGTTAAAAAAAATGTTAATAAAAAATACAGAAAGGCTATGTAATGTGTTCCACAAGCAAAGCACTGACTTCCTTTTTGTTTCCACTTGATCTGATAGTAAAGTAGAAATGGGAAGAGTGCTGTAATTTTTTTCCTGCTGCTCTACATGTTGTAATAATAAAAAGTTCTTCCATAGCTTTAACTAAAGCTGCTTTTGAGGCATGGCCAGAATATCTGCTTCATCAAAAATCATTAGGGGGATGTATCAACACAGGGGCAGTAAAAAAAGCATATTTAAGTTATTCAAGTGCTTTCTGAGCATATGGTGCTGGGCAAAAATAGTCCCCTTCTTACAATAGTCCATGATGGGTGAGATATCTTGGGAGAAATTTTGGAAGAATAGGTGGTAAAAGCTAGAGAAGCTGAGAAAATGCTGAATTCAGAAAACATATTTAGAGACTATCAGTCCAGACTGCGACCACTAAACCCTTTTTCAAGTCATCAAATTTGTTTAAAGAGATGACATGACCCAGAAATTCTTTGAAGTGATCAAAGAAGATTTAAAGTAGTAGTTTTGTTTGTTTGTTTGTTTGTTTTCTTAAATCAACATATATCTGCTGATGACAAATAGTCATCCTGGGAGTTTTTGTATGTGTCTATGCCACAAATGCACAGAATTCACTAAAGGTGTGATTCAAAAATGTTGGAAAATAGCCAGGGTATTGGATATACCAAAAGGCAGAAGTGATGTATCTGGCTTACAGGACTGTTTACTGTCTGTCTGGACTGTTTAAGTTCCCCTCAAACCTTGATTTGTAAAAGTTTCAGCAGCATATGAATGACACACTCATTCAGACATCAAGGATAGTGGTTTCTGTTTTTCAGTATTAATTTTAGTAAATTCTTTGTAAAGTGGGATAAGGAAGATACTGCAGATAAATAAGTATTGTAATTTTCTTGATTTAGAGAAATCTAGATTTCTCTTGCAGTTTAAACACACGTAGGGAGTAAATGCCGTCAAAGAGCACTTGATTCTACATCAATATAACATGCAGCAGACAGAATGTGACAGAAAGACATTAATGTCTACCTTTTCTTATCAAATACAATCTGTGAATTTTCTCAGATGCCAGGAGTACTTATTTATTGGTGCCCTGGCATGGTATATTCACAGACCTTTCAACCTGATGTTACCTTTACTAAGAAGGACAGAAGATATTATTATTATTGTTTGTTCTAAAGAACCTGGGAATCACTTGAAAGGGAATGACTGAGTATGTTTTTTACCTGCAGTGGTACTACTGGGCCTGCAGCACCCACAATTCCTATGACTCCAGGCACAGATCCCTGAGGAGGCTGACTGATAATGCTTCTCAGGACACTTGTTTGGAGAGATTAATACTACTGAATACCACTCAGCTTTTCTATTTCAGTTCACACAGGTGTCTGTACATGTAATAATTTGAAACCAAGGGTGTTCCCAGCTCTGCCAGGATATTGTTGGCTTCCTTCCACAGCAGCTGCTAGAAGTGACAGTACTGTAGAGCTGGATTTTGTTCTCTACGTCTGACCAGCCACTTCTGGTCTTCTTCTTCCCACTTCTGAATTATCATTATTGCCCTTGCTTTAATTTTGTGAATTTATCTTCTGCCAGCAAAATTTTTCTGAGATATCCCTAGATCAGATAATCTCACTGGTTTGCCACATGGATTGATTTTTCTCACAGGGTACTGTAAAAGTAGCAATTCTCATTACTGGAGGATACTTCTAAGTACTCCCTTGTACGAGTTCATTCTATAACATGGGACTAAGACTAGTCCAGAAAAACAAATTACATCTGTTTATATACAAAAAGAGGCTGATTAATGCTGGCAAACTTAAATGATGTGAGGAAATTAGCCTCCTGAAGAGCTGCTCATACACGCTGCTGTCATTCCTGATCAGATTGCTAATGGAGCAAGGACAGTGGGCTCTTGATATTGTGCTAGTTTCCACCAGGCTGCTCTCACACTGGGAGTCCTCACTGGGGCTAAGTTACTTTGGACTGACATCTTACTGTAGTCCAAGCTTATAAATACTCCACAGAACATACGTGCTGTCTGTAAGCAGGCTGCTCACTTAGTTTAGTTTTTGCACAGCATTCATCATTCCAGCAAGGCAGTCAGGAGATGAGGATCTAGCAAGACTTGGGGCAAAAAAGCCAGAATTCAAATAGGAGAGGAAAGGTAGAGTAGCAGAAAGCCAATTGATTCTTTAAACAGTGACCTAGCTTTGGTCAGGACTGGACTCAAATATCACAGTACTGCTTATCACTTAAGTGGTCATTCAGCCCTCTTCTTCAGTCTATCCTGAAGGCAAATTTGGATAGGATAAAGTCATGAGTCAAAAAAATCACACTTTCTGTTGTGATAAACCTGCCTTAGTGCCCAGTGCCTTCTATTTATTAAGGAACACAGTGGTTGTACCTGTGAGAAGGGCACTGCTGAGAAATGCCTGCATTTCATCAGTTAAAATATCAGGAAGCAGACTCACAATCTGCAGAGGCCTAAATAGAGCTTTTAAAATTGGAAGCAAAACTGACTGACTGGAGGTTTTGTTTTGTTTTGTTTTGTTTTTTTTTTTTTAAGATAAACAGCATCAGCTAGCTAAATGGATTTGAAGCACAGCTTTAATTGTTTTTCAATCAGCAAAGGGCACCCTAGCTGGAGTAAACTCTAAGTACAATCAGGAAGATTTCACATGTACAGTAGTTCCGAGGATAATCGGGCACCTCAGTGCTTGGAGATATTGTAGCATGTAATGAATAAAGCCTTTTTATGTTGGCATAAACAGTACTGTAGTCTTGAGGTCAATTACCATACCTGATCCGTGTGCTCTGGCACAACAAACCTCACTGTCCTTGAAATTAGCATGCACACTGATCTCCAAATGTAAAGGACTCTGCAACACACCTGGTCTGAAGTTGTTTATTGTCAGTGAAAGCATGTGAGGGAAGAACATCCTGAACATCTCTTCTCTTTCTTCCCAAAAGCCCCATTCTGTCTCTGACAGAACAGCAATGCTTTGGAGTGGGTAATTGCTGCAGAATCCCTTGGACCTTGGATAATGGAAATTATTTGGGTCACTAACCTGGCTTCCTAATTATAGGAAACTGAAAAAAGAAAGGAACAAAGATACAACGTGAAACCAGTTCCAGGCTTCTGGCATTTCTGCTTCCAGAAGTGTGGGATAACCCACTAACTCCCACCCCTTTCAGGTGCGCTCCATTTTAACCTTGAAGTCACAGCTCTTCCCCTCATCTAACACCTTCACACTACCAGCTGAGGGACCCTCTCTGGGAATTAGGCTCTTTGTGCCAGCTCTCAGCTTTATTTCCCCTTCGGGAGAGGAGTCGTCCACGGCAAATGAAGACTTCACACTGCAGTCCTCACTAGGACAGATGGGGAAAGAAACCATCCATCTTCACACATAGGCACGCACCTCAACGTAACCCCAAGCACACATCCTCCGCAATATCCCCCGAGCCGGGGAGCCCGAGGCACGGAGCGCCAGGACGAGGCCCGGGCGGGCTGAGTGCCACCTCCCCCGCGGCTCCGCTCCGCCTTCCCCCGGGCGGGAGGCAGCTCTCGGGCAGGTTCGGCACCTCCCGGCCGCCCGGAGGGGGTTGAGGCGGCCCGGGTGGGAGAGCGGGGCGGGGCGGAGCGGGCCGGAGGCGGGTGCGGCGCGGACCGGTGCCTGTTGCCCCGAGAGAGTTAACAGCGCGAGGAGAGTCGCCGCTTCTCTGCCCGTGCCTGGCTCCTGGCAACCGGGGCGCCGCGCATGTAGGGCCGCCGGGGGCTGCCGGCGCCGCCGCCGTCCCCCGCCCCGGACAACGTGCCCAGGCGTGAAGTATGGCATGCAAAGATGGTTTCTGCCAAGGAGCCAGCCTTCGCCATGTCCTCGGGTCTCTCCATCGCCCTTCTGCACTGTCTGTGCCTGGCGACGTGGTGAGTTCCCCGGCCGCGGGGCGACCCCCACCCGGCACGGCTCGTAGCGGTGCCGCTGCCCCGAGCCGGGTGTCAGCGACTCCTCTCACCCGCCTCCTCTTTGACTCGTAGTCTCACCGGGCCGCCGGGACAGATCAAAAAAGAGGAGAAATTGTGGCCGGAGAATTTCACCAGCATCCTCAACAGTCTCCTGGATGGCTATGACAACCGGCTGCGCCCGGGATTCGGAGGTACGGGCGCGGCGCGGGGGTGACCGCCGTCCATCCGAGGGGCCCGCGGGGAGCGCAAGGCTCAGCCCGGCTCTCCGTGCGCGCAGCCGGGTCCGCGGCGCTGCGGGCGCACCGCTCGGTGGGGGTGGGAAGACTGTCCAGTGCCGGGATCTGCTGCCACCCAGGTGCCGAGGAGAGAGAGGGTAGTTCTGTCTGTGCTGCGGGGTCGTGTGGCTGATGGGCTCTGTCCAACTAGTTAGGGAAAGCCGGCGCTCGGGAACCCGGGCACGCAGCAGTAACCCAAGTTGCTCCCGTTCCAGCTTGGATTTGGAGGTAGTCAGTTGCTGTGTAGGAATCGGGACTGGAGGGGTCGTGAATTTGCCCGCCCCCACGGTGTGGATGTTGGGTTTCAGTTTTTTCTGTGCCCCTTGTGCTGTGAGCGAGAAGCCAGGTTGGCTCTTCAGTGTAGGTCTGGTGTTACTGTTGGGATGTGGAACTGATAATAATCAGGATTGGGACAAAATACAAATTTATTTTATAATCGGGCATGGAGCTATTAAAACACAGATTTGAAAGTTTTTTTTTTTTTTTTTTTTTTTTTTAAAGGTTTAAAAAGAAGTGCTACAATCCTTTTCATGATGTGCAAAGCTAGTAGAGCATTTTATAGGCTGCTTCTATGCGGAATTGAACGAGATCCTTGTGTAGGTTTATGTTGTGAAATACTTTCTTCCTCCTCTGAAAGTACCTTCTTCATACACGTGATACAGCCACACTGACGTGTATGCCAACACGTTCCATACATACCATATATTGTGCTCACATGCATGATCTCTGCTAATATCTTTGATTGCTTCTTTATTATTTTCAGCGTATTGAATAAATGAGGCCTCCTATAGCTTAGCTTAAGTGGAAACTGAATTTATTGAACACCCAGAGGAATCATTAAGAACAGGTAGCTTTTTTTCCATCTACTCTCTGCTGAGAAGTTAAAGACATTTCTGCACGCATACGAGAGATGTGCTATGTTTGGCATCATTTAGGTTGAATGCCAACTAATTAGTCATCTAGCAAATATGCTTTATGAGCATTATTAGATTTCTAAAATTAAACAACTACTAAATATGTAATGTGACATACAGTTTATGTTGATTTTTATTTTGATACAGTTGTCACTTATAGGATATTTTGCAGGATATAGGATACTTTTTCTACAGTGTTGCAGACTTTCAGCAAAATGCTGTCAAAAACAAGAAGTTCCTTGAATCTCCTTGAACTTCCATAACTGCAGAATTGAATTAAATAATACAAGGAAAAAACCTTCACATTTCAATCTGAGGAAAACATGTCTGAGTATGTATCTCATGAAATGAATATTACATTACTATTTACCTCTTCCTTCCTTGTAATACCTAAATCAATCACCTTTGAGTTTTGAACTTCTAAGTAACACATGGGCAAACCTACTTCAATTTTGAAAACAATGCCAGGCACCCTAGCTATTTAGTGCAAGTTATTGTCACCTTATTTGACAAGAACAAGAACTAAAAACCAAAATTAACCAGAAAAAGAAACTTCTCTGTAATGGTCAGATGTGACCTTTTGATACAACTCAACATGGTCTGCAGATTAGTTATGTGCTATCCAGATTAAGTTTTGTCCATATTATGTGTTTTTTTGCTGATAAGTCTTTTTGGCAAATGGGACTCGTTTCTTAGAAGTGACTTGCTTGCCATTATAGAGCATAGCAAACAAATGTCATCATAGTGGGAATATTTAGAGATGGAAAGTGTAGTGTGTTTTGGTAACACTAAAGCTGTTTTATGATGAGCAGCAGAATATTTTATTTTTGTTTTATTCCTGAAGCTGATTCACCATCTAGATTGCACGTGGCTCAAAATGAAATGAAGGTTTTATTTTAAGAACAAAAGACCTCTCAGTGGTCTGACCGATGCTGATTTTAATCTTCAAATCAATGAAAACACTTCTAATTCTGGTGCAAGTGATGTTTAAAATCGGGCTTGGGGAGCTAGCCAAATTCTGAATTTTGCTGGCTTATTCTAGAGTAACTATAAATAACAATTCATGAAGATTTTTGCATGCAAAGTAGAAAATATTAAATTTTGGAGAATTCCTAAGACTGAATCCAGTTTCTCCATGCCTCATTAATAGCACAAAGTTAGTGGTTATAATGAAGTTAAATCACCTGAGCATGCTTATGAATGTAAATGTGGCTTCTCAGGAGGGTTGAACCTTAATGGAATATATGGATCTTGCCCTGTTATATGTTATGTAGTAGCGTGGCTTACCTTGAGGGTAAATAGAAGAATTAAGTTTTCTATGTCATTTAATGAACACTGGGCGTTACAAAGTTGCTTCACCAAACAGGTTAAACAATCCAACAAGTTGCTGTCAGTTATTAATCACTGAAAGGTTTGCTAATGTAATAAACAAAACCAGAAGGGTTCATGAAGGAGGTTGAAAGTTCCCCTTGACTTTGGGCGGGAAGAATCTAAATCATCCTTAAAAGAAGCGAGAGGAGCAGAGGTTTCAAGAAGAAATTTAATTAAGTAGAGCAGAATAGGAATTTTTGTGCATGAAAAGAACCCCGCAAGTGCTGTCAGGAAGACTTTAAATGCATAACAGTTTGAATTTCAGTAGTGGGAAAGTATTTGGAAACTAATGAATGAAGTAATGCTCCACGATGTTTGAAAACAGTGTAGTGGAAGAAAAGTCTGTCTATGTGCCATTTTGCTGCTGTCCTGAATTTCAGAAAGAAGTTTTTAGTGCATGTGGATTTCCCAGTCATGTACGGCCTGTAATCCAACAGATTATAAACACAGTGTTGAGAGAAGTCACCTGCAGTGTCATTAATGAAAAGCGTTATCTGCTGTAAAACTTCATGTTACCCAAGTGCTCTTTTGATTCAGGTGTAAAATTCTGAAGGAAAACCACTTACGCCTTTATTCCAGCTTTTATTTGCTTTTGAAATTTTTGCATATGACGAAAAAAAAAAAAAAAAAATCACTTTGTTACCTTTCCACCAGTGATTAGATTCAGAATGGTTGTAGAACAACTTTTTGATATAGGAGTATTATTCACTTGGAATAAAAGGTCTGAATCTGATTTGCCATTTTAACACTTCTATGGTTTCAGACCTTACATGAGGAACTGACAGAAGTGAGGGCCCATGAGTTCCAATTAAAATATCTGCTGGATCACAGAACCACAGAGTGGCTGGGATTGACAGGGCTCTCCGGGTCCATCAGACCCAGCTCAAGCAGGGTGCCCAGAACCACATCTAGGTGACTTAAGAAGATTTGCAAGGAGGAGAACTCCACAGCCTCTCAGGGCAGGCTGTACCAGTGCTCCATCACCTGCAAAGAGCAGAAGTGCTTCCTGGTATTCAGAGAGAACCTTCTGTGTTCCAGTTTGTTCCCATTGCCTCTTGTCCTGGCACTGGCCACCACTGAAAAGATCTTCGTCTTCCTTGAACTCCCCATTCAGGTGTTTATGGGCATTAATGACAACCCCGTGAGCCTCCTCTTCTCCGAGCTGAACAGTCCCATCTCTCCCAGCCTCTCCTAATATGAGAGGTGCTCCAGGCCCTTTGTCATCTTGGTGGCCCTTTGTCATCTTGGTGGCCCTTTGCTGGACTATTTCAAGTGTGTTCAGGTCTCTGTTATAATGAGGGACAGAGAGTTGGATGCAGTACTCCATGTGTGGCCTCACCAAAGGCAGAATAATTGTGAAGAGGGCAGACAATTTTCTATTTAGAAAATAAGAGTATCTACATTATTATCTTCTTCTATTAAAAACCTCATACATACCTTCAAAATTCCATTGTCCAGCATAATAGATTTTGTATTTATTTATTTGTTCGTTTATTACAAATGGACTGGCTGTGAGCATCATAAAGTGAAGGTAATCATTTTTTTTCTTGGGCAATTGTCCAATCTTCAGCTGATGAGAGCAGATGATTCAAAGCCTTGTTAACAGGATATGGTGTTATATACCTGTAGTTGACTAGTTTGAATTTGGCCCAGGTCCATAATGCTTGAAGTCATTACCATCTGTCTGTTGTTCAGTGACCTATATAAAATTAGCTGATATTCTTGGTCCAGTTCTTTGTAGACAGGTGCCCACGCTGTGAAAACAGGCACCAGTGTCAGCCTTGTTGGCTGTATCAGCAGAGTATCTGCTGAACAGACAAAGAAACAGAACATTGTCCTCATCTCTGGAGTTATGTTTTTCCCTGTTCAAGGTTTAGACATGATACTGGAAGAATGTAAAAGTTGCTATGTGCTGTTGCATTCAATGTATTTACCTCTGAATAAAGAATGTAGTATTGAGTATGAGTATTTGAAATGACCTACCCAGTTCTAAGTTCCCAAGAGAAATTTTACATGTAGCAGTTGTCCTCTGGTATGGAATTAAACAAGAGAATGTGCTTTTCATACAATTGTTTTTTTATGCAGCAGGCAAAAACTTGAAAAGAAAGCATCAAATCTTTCACAAACTGCTCCTGTGTGTAGCAGCTACATCTTTTTTTTTTTTTTTTTTTTTTTTTTTTAAGATGTAGATATGGCAAGTGATGTAATGTAATTTCATGTATCCCGGATTGATCTCATAACAGTGACCACGCTTAGCATTTAAATTGTACTTTGCACGTTGAGACCTTTATACAGACTTGTTTGCTAAGGTTTGCAGTTGCTTGTATGACTCTTGATGGCATAATCTCCAATCTGCAGTGAGCCTGTGCAGGATTTGACTGTTTACATACAGTGGAGATCTCTGTGGTGACAGTTGCCTATGGAAACGAATGGATAATGGAGTCCAAAGTCTTTTACTGGGAGTTCTGCTGCAGTTCAACCCATATGTTGGCATCAAATGCATGGCAGAGCTGTCTTATGTTCCTCTTCACAGGGTTAGGGCCCGGTATCACTTCTGCAGCCCACATGTAGCATCTCTATCAAGCACTGAACTATTCTGGCTTTTTGCAGGGGTTGCTTTTAATTCTACCAGAGCTTCTTTAAAGTATATTATCTTACAGGCAGTGATTCAGACTTAACTGTTCCCACTGCAGTGTGTAGGACTCTCCTCCTATTTCATTGACATAAAAATACACACCAGTATATTAAAAATAGTTCTTCAGTGTTCCTGAAGACTTATGGTGATTAAATGTTTTCTGAACATGCACTGAAGGGGAAGTACAGGTGGTCATATTTAAAGTAGATTGCCCTGCATTTTATTGCCAGCTGTAGAAGTTTAAGTTTTCTAATAGGATCTTCTGCTTCCACAGCCCAAGTTGATTAAGTGGTGCAACATGCTTATTTTGGAAGGCTCCTTGAATCACTAGTAAAAGTAGGTTAGGTGACTGCAAATCACCTCTTTGTTGGCAGGAATTCCCATAATTAATAATAATTAAAAAAGAAAAAGGCATGACTCACTCTTTCTACCCCTGCTATAGTTTCCGATTGGAATTAGTATATTCTATTCCACAATGAGCAGAATAGAGGATAGGTTCTGGTATCACCGTGGCTCTCTTGGCTTGGCCTTGAGTGCTGGGATGCTCTAGAAAATCCAGTATTTGCTCTTAACAGTTATGGACTGACATTGTAGGTGGAAGATGTGGTACAGGCCTGTAGATGGGAGGAAAAGCATTAGGGGAATAATTATCTTTCACTGTCCCTTGCAGTTGTCTTTTCTCCTACCAAACATTTTAACGTTTGACCACAGTTTTGGATGCAAGGAAAGGATTTTCACACCTGTAATATGTGGATATTGTTTCTTCCATTGTGATGCCTAAAATGTTTGCAGATCCTTGTTTATCTGACATTATCTAGAAGCCTAAAACTTGTTTTGAACATTTGTCAGGGGAGAAAGCAAAGGTAAACTTTAATTTCAGCCTTATCATGTGGCTTCGTTATCTGTCCTGCTTCCTTCTGTCTCGTGGGTCCCACTGGTAGATACAAGTTTGAAAGCAGAATAGTAGTTACTAGAAGCACAGTTTTTATTCCTATGTTGCTGCAATCAGATTCTTCATAGCATGAAATCACAAGCTTTTAGATTTTGAGGTTAATTTCCTGATCTTAGAGCTTACCTTCTTTCCAAGAAACCCCAAAAAATAAAGTTGCAAAAAGTCTCTGAACGCTGTTGCCTGTGAAGCAGTCTAATAAAACAAATGAAGTCAGTACTTGAGGAAAACCAGCTCCTGCCTATGGGAAAAATGTTCCCTTTTGCTCTGTTTGATACAATTATAAAATTACAGTGTACTGTGAGGTAAAGAAAAGAAGATACCATAGAGATACTGATCCACTACAGGTGATTTTGTTCTCTTTTTAGAAGTATAACTTTCAGTATTTTTTTTTTTTTTTTTAATCGTTGGGTAACAAAAGACTCGAGCAATGTGAAACAATGTCTCTATCATTTCTATAGAATTTTGATTTCAAAAACATTTTGACTTCACCAGATTAAATAAATGGATACTATGTGTGAATATTTATATTGTACGTAGTTTACCCTAGATAAATGATAGTGTGGTGATTATGGGAGATCAGATATATTTGGATTGCTTGTGTTTCTACGTTCTAAGTATGATTGGGCTTTTCTTTCCTGTTTTTCAATCCTGCAGGTGAAATTTTTCACTTCTAGTATTGACAGCTCTGAGTTTTTTCCCTATTTCTTGGGGCTCTGTGGAAATAATTATATTCAGGAAATTTAATTGGACTACATTGTCAGTGACATGAGTGGTCCAACCACTCATAGGTTCCTGTATCATGAAGAATACTTAAGTATTTGTAGAAAGGGAAGCAGCTTCCATTTGACATGTTTAGAAGAGCAGAATGTTATGAGTGTGTGTTATCTGGAACTTGGGAAATTCTTAAAACCTCTTTGAGACAGACATGCTGAAGGATCCAGCTTTCCAGGGACCACTGAGCTACCAACTGTTGTAGGGTGATTTTTCTTTAGATTTTATCATGGAAAAAATGTCTCTGTACAGAACTGTTAACTTCTATTAAAGAGTCTGTTTCTTGACATTTAGCTGAAAAGTTCTTAGCTGTTCTTCTATACATAACTTGCAAACTGCTCACTGAAATAATTTTATATGGTTTTCTTTTACATTTTGTTCACAGTTTGACACTTTTTCTAGATGCACAAAATATAGCTTCCCTGATTTCCAGTTGCATATTTATTTCTCTCCTCTTAATATTTGATTCAAAACGATATTGTCTGTGAACAGCAATTATTTTTTTCTTTCCAGAGGCATAAATTCTTCAGCTTTTACTTTCCTTAAATCTTCCTTCTTTTTAATTTTGTATTACAAATACTATGATAAATCCTGAATTAACAGACTTGAGGCACTTATCTTCTTTGTGTATCAGGAGAGAAACTGTGGTTGCGAATTTGTAGATTATACCGTGTTTTCAAACAAATAATGTTTGGTGAGAAAACCAGCAGATATTCATACATTTGTGATGTATGTTCACTACTCAAATTAAGCCATTAGGTAATGCTTTGATCACAGAATTATAACTATAATTATTAATAATTAGCAGTTTTCTAGAGTTTTACATTGGGAACTGATATAAATCCTGCATATGTACTTACAGAAAACTCTAAAGTTCCCAGTTGTGAACCCAGAGTGATGCCATTCTTGTATTTCAAGTTGCTTTGTCCTGTCTTGGAGGGACTGATCATGTTGATATGAAGTTGCTTTCTCTGATGGTTGCTTGACATTCTCAGCTATGAATATTCAATACTTTGGTGCACTGTCGTAAATAACAGTAGCTCTTGCAAGAGGGGCTATGTAGTAGCATGTGTTCAGACCCTCCAGAATACTAAGATATCTATGTTTTACTTTGTTTGTCAGTATTAAATAACTTAACTATTGATTTGGATGTGGATGCATCTCTTGATCCTGCTAAATTGCCTAGTGTGTAGCACAGTAATATCTGTGACCTGGTTATTACCAATAAGACTGAATGGTAGCAATAAAGACCTTGGGGAATGTGGATTTCTTGAATTATGTGCTTGTTGTTAATCAGCACGGTGTTTTCCTTAAGTCTTTTAATTTGTTGGTACCTGTTTTCTTTGCTGAGTCAATGCTGGTTTTCTAAATGGGAATTTGCATGCCTTTGACTTACCTGTGGAGTAACAACAGTTGAGTAGATCTTGTTGTTAAAGACATATCTGAAATGACCTGTTTTTGCGTTTTGCTCTTGTTTGTCCACAGAACCCTCAAAGCAATAACTGTTCATATGCCAGGATCGCTTATGACAATTGTTGACCTACAAAATTCACATTTTCTTGCTCACTTTTCATATATTAGGTCCTGTTACTGAAGTCAAAACAGATATATATGTCACCAGTTTTGGACCTGTTTCTGATGTAGAAATGGTACGTACTGCTGGAACTAAAATGCCATTTCCTGTTTCTGAGAAACCATTAACTGCAGTAAGGAGTGGATGATTAATTCATGTCTCTGCACTGTTCTGTCAATCATACAAAGTAGACAAGATTAGTAACGGCTTAATTTATAGCTTATAATTAGATACAGCAGGCCTGATTCTGATCGCACTTGCACTGTTTTTTGTCTGGCTTAAAGAAATTTCTTCCCAAAAAAGCAGATTTTTGTGGTGTAGAGACAGAATCAGGCCTTGTGGGGAGTGTCACAGTAAGCATACTGTGGGGGAAAAAAAAGTAATGTCTTTGAAATTGCCTTTCTCAAATGCGTGTTATTCTCAGGTGAATAGTAATGACATAATTTCACAAATACTTGTTGACATTTTCTTTTCAGATGAATTCCCTTTGTTGGTCTTTGGGCCACTTTTAGCATCAATTTCAGCAAACGTTTGACTAATAGGAGTTTTCATAACTGTCTGCAGAAATTGAATGTCAAAATGACATGCACAAAGTATTCACTGAAGACAAACATTGCATTTGCATGTACTGTTATTTGTACCTGAAAGGCAACTGCATTTGGGGTCAAATCCACTGCAATGTGCCTACAGCATACCCTTAAATCACACAACAGTTTCTCATTTCTTGGATTTTTTATATGAAACATGGAAGTAACAGAGCCATATGTACATTTATATGTTTATACTTCTCTGAGGGAAAGGCAGTTTCATGGCAGTAATGTCCTTCATACATTGTGCTATCCTGCACTTTCTGGGGCAAGTGATTGGTTCTATCCTGTGGAAAAGTATGTGACAGCAAGCTGTTTTTATTCAAGGACTATGTCCCTATGCTTGTCTTGCGTGGAATTGCATCTTACACATTCAATGCACAGTATAATGCTGTTCAATGTGACAAAGGGTACAAGAATGTAGAATAATAAGTCTAGTGTGTGCCTCAACTCTAAATTGAGGGCTGCAGTGAAGCATTTTATGTGCTGCCTCATGAGAAATTACTGGTTACCTTGGAGAAGGCAGGAGTGAAAACAAGAAATGGAGGTAGGTAAGGAACTGGCAAAAAGAGAATTTACAGCAGATGTTTCCCCTTTTGTCATTAGGGATTGATTAGGAGGCTTTTCAGGGATCTTGGAATTGGTTTTGAAATGAATATACCCATTGTGATATGAATGTGGTTGTATTCACAAACCTTGTTGAAAGTGGGGAGTGTGAGAGTCTCAGAATGGGATAATCTGAATGTTTTTTTAGAACTGGTTTAGTTTGATTCTCAGAGTTATGAAAAAGGTTGAACTCTCATTTTACAAGATCTATCAGGTGCATGCTGATAACAGAAACTGCTACTGCAAGCTACAAAATTATTAGCAAGAGATGACAGAGAAGAGAGACTTCTCATAGACTCACTGTTGTAATGCAAAAGCGTCAGCACTTCTGCTCAAGACTTACCAGTCCTGAAGGAAGAACACAGTAAAGTTAACATTCATCAGTTTAATAGAGAGGTACTCACGTTATGGGGAAATTGGCTGGTCAGTCCCAGCACCAGTGGTTGTCGACTGGAATAGTGTCTGCTCTGGGATCATCCCCATCAGATGCGAGTGGCAGCAGGCTAGCAAGATGTCTGCTAACCATCCTTAGTACTGCCACAATATATATGAGTGGGAGACAATAAAACATTGTGCGTCAGGATAATCAAGGCCATGCACAGAAAGAGAGGATACTTAGTTACAGCTGTAGAGCAAATTTCTTCTCCATGCAGAAGCTAGAGGTGGTTTACTTGTCTTCCCAAGATAACATGAGCCCTTTCTAGTCTCCTGTTCAGGCCATAATCTGCATTTTTCCGCACAACAGTAAAGCAAGATGGAGGATATATCCATAGAAAAGAAACCAAATGTAGTTCTAAGATGCATTACATTTGTAGAGATGCATTCGTGCCCATATGAATATGACCATTAAAGTGGTAATAATATGCAGAGTAGTTTGGCTTAACACAAAGATGCAGCTTCAAGTTACAAAGGACTGAAGTTTCCTGTGCTACCTTCTTCAATGCCGTGTAATTGTTCTCGTAATTGTTTTAAAATGCTTTAACTTCCCAAGATGAGAAATGCATTCCTTTATCAATTAATTTGCATGTGATTTCTCATGATGTGCTTGTGTCTGCAGTTCTGCAGTTTATATGTTTCCTTTGGAGCACTTGAATGACTTTTCTAAGGAATTGAATGGAATAGCTATGTAGTTAAAAATAAATGTGCGTTTTTACAAGTCTATGAATAGTTCATTGTATGTGTTTTGTGGACATGACAAAGAAAATGTTCAGCTTTCCTCCATTGAAAGTTTACTTTTAATCAGTTGAAGTTAAATTTCCCTTTTTTGGCTTTGAAATGGAAGTAATCATTTCTCCTGATACTTTAGTTTATCTATCTATCTATTTATTTATTTATTTTCAGTGCTGGCTATCTTTTCTTTAAAAATGTCTTTTAAAATGTTGACATTTGTTATTACAGATCATTTTGTTTCCAGTTATATACTTGACTACAAATTAAACTGCCTGCTTCCTGCAGTCTAATTAGATTAATTATTCCTTAATGATTAAACATGTGTATCAATTTATTGATATGACTAATGTGGGAAATTAAGTTAAGGAGTACACAAAACTATTTAATTGGTGACATTACGTTTGTGTGGTGGACTTAGCATTTTCTTTAGTACTAGTTTATTTGCTCCTGAGGGATTTCTTTTCTTTTTTTTTTTTTTTCTTTCTTTCTTTTTTCTTTTTTTTTTTTTTTTTTTTTTTCTTTCTTTTTTTTTTTTTTTTTTTTCAGGAAACACTTGTACAAACAAATGTGATCTTTATTTTTCTGCAATTTTTCTGCAAAATACAGGAGTATACAATGGATGTCTTCTTCCGTCAGACATGGGTAGACAAAAGATTAAAATATGATGGCCCTATTGAAATTTTAAGACTTAACAACTTGATGGTCTCGAAGGTGTGGACTCCTGACACTTTCTTCAGGAATGGGAAAAAGTCTGTTGCACATAACATGACCGCCCCAAATAAACTCTTCAGAATAATGAGGAATGGCACGATCCTGTATACAATGAGGTATCTAGCTTGTTTTTCAGCTTCTTACAATTACTGTATGCAAAAGATGTGCTGCCTAGACAAAATGGCAACCAGAGACTATTTAATTTGTTCCATTATAGGCTTACAATAAGTGCAGAGTGTCCCATGAGATTAGTGGATTTTCCCATGGATGGTCATGCTTGTCCTCTCAAATTTGGGAGTTGTAAGTTACAATTATGAAATTTCTTGTAACTACAGAATTTAAATAGTAGAAGTAGATTTTGAGAAATTAGTGAATTTTCTGAATATTAGTTGTGATATGCAATCCATATGCAGGCAAAACTCCTGTTAAGTTCTTTGGGAATTTTATTTAGGACCTGAAAAGTAAACTCATTTCAGAGAACTGAAAAGTAGACAGTGATTCAGATACTGTTTTAAACTCACTGGCTACACTGTTGTTTGAAGTATATAGTTTTTTTTGGTTCCTTGGGATGAATTGAACACTCAGTGAAGCGAGAGATACTCTGCAGAAGAGGGTGGGATCCATCTCAGCTTACTGCAGTCAGGTAAAAGGTGCCTGGGGAAGCTGTTTATTTGTCTTTCTTCACAGTCAGTGGAGTCAGGTTCATGTCCTAAGATAGGTTATACGTTAAGTATGAAGATTTGTTCATCTTATATCCTATTTCGTGGCCTGTAAAGGGAGTCTGCATGACAACTACAGGCTAGATAGTTTTTAGACTGGTGAGAGAAGTCTCAGTGTAGTGCAGATGACTATCCTTTTCTGCTTTGAAGTGTGAAGGTTATCCAAAATCCTCTAGTTGACTTTTGCTAGGAGTAATGTTTTGGGCCATTTTACATGCAACAGAGAAAGGTAGAAATGAGTCCTTTTTGATTTTATTCCACAGCAGAGATTGCTGTGACCACGTGGGTATGGTTGATGTGCTTCATTTTCTATCTTGTCACTCTTCTAAGCCTCGTTGGTCACTGGCTTCTGCTTTTCACTGGGATGTTGTCAGTGGCTGGACAGTAATCTGTTTTCCTTGACCCCTGAATTCTGAAGTTAGAGTTTGCTGGAAGCTGCTTATCCCCTTAGTTTATACATTTAAGTTATACAGCTCAATAGCCAAGGAGGATATTAAGGATGCTTCTCTGATAGGGCTTTTCTTCCCAGTTACTGAAATTAGAAACCAGGTCCTGCTAGAAGTGGCTTTGGCATCAGATGTGCACTAGGGAAGCTTCAATAATGGGGACTTCTCCACTGGCATATTTCTTAGGGCAGAATCATAAATCAGTAGAAATTGTGTTTGACACTAATCTGGTATCTTTTTCAGTGAAACTTGAAGTAGCAATTTCAAATGCAAGATTGGTTTAATTTAATTTTAACAGGAGTTTGGACTGCGTAGGGATTGAATGCTAGCTGTAAGTGATGTCTTTTATATTAAATGTTACAATATTTCTTTGGGTGTGCTTATTTCTGGGCTGCTTTGAATCTTTTACTGACCTCTGTTTCTGGCAGAAGAAATTAAATTTCTGCTTTTAGACTAATCATTACTTCATGTAAAGAAACGTGCACCTCATCTCCAAAATGTACCCTCCTTATCATGCTATTTTTACAGAACAGTATATTTTAATGTTAAAATTTTGGATAGAAATTTCTAAAATAGCTTGAAGATAACCTGCCCATGTTTACTAAGGGCCAATGTAGAAAGAAGTAGTGTTTAACTTCATATTTGAATGTGAAGTCTAATTTGTGTATAATGCTTGATGTACTACCTTAGCCTCCAGTTTATTTTTTTGGGGGGTAACACAGAGATTGTCTTCTAAAGCTGTTACTGCGAGTCTTACTGATTTTGGTAAATTTGGGGAGGTGGCATTAGTAGGGTTTGGGAAGTTGTTTCCTATTTATGCAAACTGGTACTGTGTTGTAGATGCATATCCGAAGAGTGAAATGATTTATACCTGGACAAAAGGACCTGAGAAGTCAGTGGAAGTTCCTGAGGAGTCTTCCAGTTTAGTTCAGTATGACCTGCTAGGGCATACGGTGTCCAGTGAAACCATTAAATCTATTACAGGTAGGAATCGCATCAGTAAGAGTCAATTTCAGTCAAACTAACCCTGTAATACTACTCTAGGCTTTTTTTCTTTCTTTAATATATACAGAATTTTACTGAATGTCATAGGCTATATATTAGGAGGTGAAAGCGTAGATCTGAATTAGGTTTCTGTCCTTCAGATATACATTTGCAGATTCATTACTGTAGATTGCAAAGGTCTTTCAGAAAGCTAGAATCAGATCATTTCTCCAAGGGACAAAATGAGTATTTAATCACTGCTTAAAATGCAGTTTGAAGAGTCAAGAGGATGCCTGGGTAAGGAAGTAATTTCTCAGCACTGTAACCACATTATGTGCAAAAGACTTCCTTTGTTTGGTGGAACAAACAGCTCAGGATAAAAGTAGAGCATACAGAATGGGTTATTAAAACCATTAAAAACCCTCTAGTCAGATAAGCATAGGCACGAATGCATTAGTCACAATAGATACTTCTGCTGATTTGCCTTACTTCTTACAGCACAAATGGCAACTATGGGCATCCTAAATGAGTGAAGTATCACTTATGAGCAGTTTACTGATAAGCAAGCATACTCTCAAAATATTTTTAAAAATTGGAATCATTTTCTAAACATCAGCAAGTTTGGGTGTTGTAAGATGGTCATAATTAAACAGATAGAGCAGTACAACGCATATTTGCTTTCTGGATATTTTTCTTAAGGACAAAACAGTATTTTGCAGTACCATAGAAGTTGACCTGCTCACAGATCAATTTTTATGAGTGAATGACCTGGTTTCCCTACTATGGCTACAAAATTCTTCCTGTATTCTTCCTACTATTTAGATAGTTTACTCCATTTGTGCTGAAAATGTAATTGTTTCGTTTAATATGAGTAATGATACTTCATCTAAACTTACACTATTTTTAATTATTGTTAATGACTTTTGCATTTATATCATTATTATTGTGGTGCTAATATATAAACCTAGAGTATTCTCTTCAGCAGATGCTAAAGGAATTTTCAAATCATACTTGCATTACAAAAACTGATCCAGACTTAGCTACACATTTATAATATTTTAGATAGCATTTTAAAAACGACACTATAAGGACCTTCTATTTCCAACATTTTTTGTTTAGAACTTATCTTTGTTCTTGTCACATAAGATGTCTTCTTTTCTATATGTGTTAAATATGTTGTTGTATGAATCTTAAAGAATCTTAGCTGATAGTTTGTAACAATTAATCTATGACATAAAAAAAATGTGTAGTCAGAAAAATACTTTTTTTTTTTTTTTTTTTTAGGTGAATATATTGTTATGACAGTTTACTTCCACCTCAGACGGAAAATGGGTTATTTTATGATTCAGACATATATCCCGTGCATTATGACCGTCATCCTTTCTCAAGTTTCATTTTGGATAAATAAGGAATCTGTACCAGCTAGAACTGTATTTGGTAATTATTTCAGTTTTTCACTTTTTATCATGCTTTCTCAACTATTTTCTCTAGACTAGACACAAGGTCACAAGTATACTGCCTTTGTATTAGCACAGATGCAAGGACTTAAGGTAATTAGTTTGTGAGATCTTGGATTCAAAATTTGGAAGTTTGGAATATTTATCAAGAAGCATAACCTGGTTGTCTGTGGCAAGTCGATGTACACTGGTGAGTATTTTAGGTGCTTGGAGTATCAGGATGAGAAGACTTGGCCTGAAATGATTTAGTCCTTAGTCTGTATACAGACCAGTTTTATCCTTCAGTGAGCAGCAGTGCAGTACTTGAATGCATGCTTTCTGAAATCCTATTAAAATAACTTGATTGGGAACATGTGAATGTAGATATATAGATATCTATGTCATCAGTGGAAGCTTGCAGAAGGTAAAGCTTAGATGTAATTTCATGTATAGTGATCTTTCCTATCTACTGTTGCCATTATGAAAATGAATTAATAAAGAAAAATGATTGTAAGATGTTAGAAGTGAATTAATCAAAATACAGTTTAAATGTGATGGTACAGTAAACACTGAAAATAAAAATTTTAAAAGCACCAACAAAAGATTAAGTGTAAGTAATTAAAGGAATTAAATGGAAATACGGTTCTTAACAAAGGAATAAGACAAAAACATTTTTAAAAGCAGTCTTCATAGAGAGAAATGTCTTGACTTTACAATATACTCTAGTAGAAAGCTAGGTTAATCAAGAAAATGTTCTACAAGAAAGCTTTGATATAGCTAGATGCTGGAAAGAGGGACAAGAATTAATGTTTCTACGTGATAGCTCACCCAAACATGTAAGTAAAGTCTTAACGCTGTTTGGTATCACAAATTAGACAAGATTAATCATTAGTTATAAGAAAATATATCCGGCAAGCAGGAATGTTGTTTCACATGTCTTTCCAGTAATGTTGAATAATGATACTTCTTAAGTATAGCCATAAACTGGAAAAGTAAAATCTGTATTTATAAACAAAATATGGTAATGAAAATGCACAGATTATGCAGCAATAGAAGAAATATGTGTCAGTATATCCGTATAAGAAGCAGGGAACAAATAATAATGAAGTTTGGACATCTATTAAGTTGCATTTAGTTTCTAATATGCTTTGAAAAGAAATGTCATACAGTATGGCTATAAGTACTTTTATAAAGTTTTCTGTCAATCGCCAGAAGAGACCCTATAAGTAATTTTAAGAGAATATAGAAATGTTGCAGACAAGATGTGAAAATGAAGCCAGAATATCTGCTGTGATACTGACTTTCCAGAGAAACAGTCAGAAGAAGCTAAACAAAAGACTTTCCATTGGACAATGCATGGCTGGAGAGAACTTGGCAAAGATAACACAGAAAGGACACACGAGGAACAATCTAGGGAGTTTCTGCCTGTCAAGATGTCTGTTACTATGGAAAAGATTTTGAACATGATGCTCTATGAATGCTTTTCACATGGAACAAAGGCATAATTTGGTTTTGCTATATATTCTGAATGTTTAACAAGTTGTGTGGCTGGGAGATAGCATTCAGAGAACATCTGTCTTTTTATGTAGCTCTAGTATGCCACTTGAATAGAACACATGCATAATCTCTTGCTTACAAACTCGTTGTATGATGTCTGAACAGTTTATCTTGCTGGTGAGAGCTTTATTTATGTATCCCTGAAATAAGAGTATCTTGCTGGGAGTTGTCTTCCAGGACACTTTTTCACAAATAAGTGTGACCTTTTACTTTCTTATGTCCATATTAAAAACAAAGTAAAATAAAATGGGGAGGGATTGGGCATGCAACTAAATTCTAGTAATGAATCTGTGTTCAGTCATTTGACTTAACTACAACCATATGACACACTTCTCTTCCAGTTTTAGCATGTGAGTGCTGAGTGGTCTGATAAAGTATGCATGGAACAGCAGCACATATCCTTAAGGTTCTTTTGTGAATCTTGAGACCACCATAGTCCAAAAAAGCTGGGTAGCAGTGCTGCAAATAAGCCAGAGAAGGCATGGATGAGTTGGAAGATGTGAGGACATTGCACTGGTCTATTGCATATTAGCCAGGCATGTTTATTCAATTGCATGTGAAGTAGTGGTTTATAGCTTTTATAAAGACTTCTTGCTCTGGTGCTGAAACTTTTAAGAGTTTAATAAATCTTACTAACTTACCCCAGTAAGAGTTATAGGCATGTGAATCTGATGGTTGAGGAAGACTAGTGTTTCTTAAAGTGAGAAAGAGAGAATTTTCTTTTCTAATCAAGTTTTTTTTTTTAATAGTAAAATAGTCTTAGTATATTTTTTTCACAATTACGTGTAATTCTGATCAGAAGCTTGCAAGTATTTTGCTCTGGATAGTTACAGTTCGTATGTATATATGTGTATATATGTATGTATATGCATATAAACACAAGGGCAGGAAATTAAGTTCTGGTAAAATCTTGCGTGTGTGTGTGTGTGTGTGTGTGTACCTATATATACATGTACACACAGGTTTTTACCAGAACTTAATTTCCTGCCCTTGGCACATATCTAGGAACAGCTACAGTGGCAACTTGCAAGCCTCTCAGAGGAATGTTTTAATAGGAAAAAACCGAGGAAGATTGGGGTAATAAACAGTGTAATACTGTCACAGCCTGCCCTCTGCTCCATATATCTGCTTAATCATTCATCTGTCATTTGAGTCATTTCATCCTATTCTTAAATCTATTAAGTAAATGTCTTTTTAAAACACAATTCAGAGAACCTATTTGCTTGAAGACTGCAAGAGTAGAATCAGGAAGGATAGGGTAAGCAGGGATGTGTCTCTTTCAGGATAAAATAACTTCCCATAATTCTTTCTCAGAATTAAATATTTTTAGTGGCGTGTTTTTTAACACCTTCCCACTGAGGAAGATTTTGTGTTTTTTATCCTGCTGAGTTTGCTCTGAAATGCTATTTGAGCTTTTATGAACTAGACACTGCTTCTTTGTCTTTAAAAATTAAGCTAGCAACTGCAACAAAAAGCTCTAATATGAGAGACTGGCTTAATTTTGTCCTGTTTTCTGTATGACGATGTCTAGTTGAAGGTTTTTTCTCGGTAAGTTACCCAAATGAGATATGCCTATTTAGGAAACAGGGTGGGTGAAGGTCCTGTTTGAAGACAGACTATCAGTTATTTTGAATTCTTTCCATACATACATTTAATCTTCTGTGAGTACAATGTTGTTTTCATAAAAGTGAAGATACATGCACTTGTTGTCAATCTTCCTTGAGATCATTGTGGTAGCACTTGAGCAATGTTCACCCTGTACATGGTAGTTTTTATGTGGGAGACGGGGGATACTTCATGTTTTAACGAGTCTTAGAATAGTTTGGATGAGAGGAAAAAAAATCATTTTTTGTTTTTCTATAGCTAGTGTTTGCACTTGAAGTGTCACAATAAAGTGGTCATATTTTGCTCAGTGTTCATGCATGTATACTTTAATTGAAGTTATTCTTTCAGAAGATGAAATCCTAATTAAATTTAACTGGTCGACTAGTAGCAGAAGGATTTAAAAGATAAGGTTATGACTTACTAATTAACAGAATTGTTAACATAATATTTGAGTTTTCCTTAGCACCAAAAATATTTGCCATGTTTTAGTGGCATCTGGCTTATGAGTGTGATCAGAGTAATAGGTAGCTTTCCAAAGCCTTTAAAGGAAAAATCATGCTGTTCTTGCAGTCCAGTGAGCAAAACATACATCTGATAATCAGCTTAATTACATTCAAACGTTTAGGAAATTATTTGTTGTAGGAAATTCTACAAAATTTGACATAAAAAATATGTATTGAAGACTTACCATTTCTGCATGTGAACTGTAAGTGATCTAGTGAAGGCATGGCTCTCTTAAAAACTGGTTACCTGTTGTGTGTGTACAACTCTGCTCATTAGTACATGGCGATTGCTGGGACTTAAATCTAATGCAGTATTCATAAGATGCATAGAAAGGCTTTCCTCCATTTTCTTAATCTAACAGAGCAATGAGTTGTTTTTACTCTGTCAGTTCTTTCCTGTGTTCATTTTTATGAAGAGTGGATTGCTGAGTGTAGGATCTCAAAGGTTCTTAAGATTGTCTTATCAAGCAAACACAGGATGCACTGTCTGATGGCAACATCTGAATCTTGCAGTGGTAGAGCAGTAATAGACTAGTAATAGCAGTAGTATTACGCAGTGCATTATTTTGCAGTGCTGGAAAAAAGGTAGTTATGTTATACTGTATTTCCTGTGTTGATTTAAATGTGAAAATCTCTAGTATTATTACTTCAATTTGTGGTAATATATATACATATATTTAACTGAGTAGGAGATTTATTTTCTTCCATTTGATGTCAAGATTGAGTGTCACATTCACTGGAGTAACTTGTGTTATAACTTTTTCCAGTGTAACTGCTTTTTCATTCATAATAGTTGGCTTTACAATCAGAGATAGAAAGAGATTTAAATCACTCATAGGTGATATGAAACTCTTTGTTTGAAGCTGTTTGTCTACTTTCATATTCTCTGTCTGATTTACTTGCATTCAGCAGTGCTTTTGTTTTGTTTCTTTGAAGGAATAACCACAGTGTTGACAATGACGACACTGAGCATCAGTGCAAGACATTCACTGCCAAAAGTATCATATGCTACTGCCATGGACTGGTTCATTGCGGTCTGCTTTGCCTTTGTGTTTTCTGCTCTTATCGAGTTTGCTGCTGTCAACTATTTTACTAATATTCAAATGGAAAGAGCCAAAAGGAAGACGGTAAAATCCCTCCTTGAATTTCCAGTTGCTCCAATACAAAGAGAAAAAAATACAGAAGAGACGCACACGGTATGTTTTCAGTTTACAGAAATATTTTCCATTTTTCTTTTTGTAGCCTTTCTCAACAAAGCAGGCCTTTAACTTTTTTCCTTTCAGCCCCAAAATCTTCCCCTGACATTCCAGCATCTTCCTATTCCCTGTAGAGGAGGCAGTGAATAAAGTTCTTGACATTAGTCTCAACTGGTCTTCTGCATCCTGGCCCAACTCACCAGACTTGTGTCTCCTGCTCAGAACTGTGAAACAGAAGAGCCTGTTTTGCATTTCCCTGGGGACAGCTACTCTGGAGGCATGCATTTTCCTCTACAGGGCAATCAGAAAAAAAGCGTTCAGCTTATTCTTCAGAATCTGGATGCAGAGTTGTTATAAGTGTCTGGCAGACAAGTTTCTCTCCTGCATGAAGTATAAGTTAGTATTATGCAAGATTAATGCTATGACATATTCAATGAAAAAATCCTGTAAAACTTTATTTGATTTTTTTTATGTGCAGTATTAGAGATTGGAGGAGGAGGTTATGCCTGTCCATACCTGCCATCTCTTCTATGTTTTGTTGTGTTTTAGTGAGGGTCAGTTAGAATGGATATCTTTAGGAAAGTTTCATTTCCTTTATGTGCTGATTCTGCTTGGACTGATAATACAGACCAGATACTACAGATTTTATAGAGAACATGTTATCTTCTATGATTTTTTTTTTTTTTTTTTAAATGAATTAAAATATGCTAAAACATTGCAATTATACTTCAGAGAATTTCCCCAACCATCGCTGTTCTCCTTTCACTGCACATGTTGCCTGTGTAGAATTTTCTTTCTTATTCAGTTATAATTTCAGGAAGTTTTTAAAGAACGCTGGATAAAACATTTGTGTGCACCATGGATGTCATTTTTATGTTACCTATATATCTGCACAGGAACTCACCTCAGTTTCTGAAAAGATTTTGGGGCCCTTAACAGAATGCTTTTCAGCTTTCATAGTGCTCGAGGTTTTGAGACTTATGTGGTAGTTACCTCAGTTGTGTGGACCAGTTAACAAGGGTATGATCTTGCTTCCAGTTGAGCTCGCCAATAATTCTCCTTCCCTCCCTGTTTTGGTTCCCCTTTCCTTGCTAGCAGCTACATTCCTTCTCCTATTCTTCAGACATATAGCTAACAAAGTCATTCCACACTTGCACTCACCATATGGTAGGCCAGTAGCTCTGTTATGACTGGCTCTCCTGACAACATCACTCAAGATGTATGACACTGACAGCAGCATCATAATTCACTCTTCCTGTCAGACTGGTTTTCTAATTTCCTTTTATTGAGTCATGATTTAAGAACTACTGTTTTAGATGAACTCTTGGCAATTTTGTCTTCTGTGTCTTTCCACATCTCATTTGTTTCTTTCCTTATTCATTTGCTCTTTTTGCTTTCCCACTCAATCCATTTGATGTCACACCTCAGTTGCTCTCCACCCACTTCCATTTTTCTTCATTGCTCTCCTATCATAAATCATTAGAGTTTTCAATCTTCTGGCTATGTTGTTCTGCTACTCCCAGTTCAACTTAAAAGAATAGATGTGTTCCTGAAGAGTTTATTACGTCACTCTGTGTGCTGCTAGTAAGAGACAGGAATAAGAAAAAATATGCTTATAGCAGCAAGTGGTTCTTCTTGTGCATAGAGGTATTAGAGTTGTTAGTTTATCTGGCTAATCTTGACAATACATACTGTTTTATATAATATCAGACACTCTGAGTAGTGTTAATAAGTATTTGTTTAGGAGATAGTCAGGTTTTACTTGAGTCTGTAGAAAAATAAATTGCACTGTAAAAGATGACACTGGATTTATTTATAAAATGTAATTATATCCAAAAGAAAAAGTCTTCTCAGTTTGTAATAGCGGAGGTTTAAAATACTACTTGTGATTCATGGTCAGAATTTTTGTGTGTTGGTCTTGTACTTAACCATTTACACAAATGTTTTGGATAAGCTGTTTTAAAACAAACAAAACCCATCAACAGCAACAACAGTCCACACAGATTCATCCAACTTTACACCTCAAGTTGCCTAGCTTTAATGTTCTATTCCACTGCAAAATTAATATATCTGAGGTAGATTTGGTAATCTGCTGACACGTTTTAGGATCTTGAAAACACTCAAGGGAGCAATCTAGCATTTAGAAGTTTTATATATGAAGACTATGAGTTTGTATGGCAGTGATAATAATATTATTTGCACTGTTATTGTGTTTTCTCTAGTCATGCCCGTGCTAAAATTTGTGTTTTCTTTTCTGTGGGAAATGTAGGGAATGAGCTCACAGATATGTTAGACTTAACTATCAGGCAGTGCCTTCATTAACTAGGTGATGATTTCTGTCCGTGTATTCTGCTTCACAGAACAGTCCTCAGAAGCTAATGAGACTGGTACATTGCTTTCCAACGTGATGTGTGATACAGTCTTTCTCCTTAATATTTCAGTTCTAGGTCTAAAAGGATAGTCTTGAATCTTATGTCTTATAAATCTAATTTTTCTCCATGTATACTGTCTAATAAGCTGGATTTCCAGAGGTTGAAATCCTTGCTTCACTGCAAATTTGTGGTACACAAAGAATGCAGAATGATAGCCTATAACATATCATCTCTAAGCATTATTTCTCAAGGTAAATGTTAGACATTTTTTCTCCATAGCTATATTAAAGAATTTGATTTCTTAAGCCAGCTTGATGGGGTTTTCTTTGTTTTGTTTTTTTTAAGGAGCCTGTACTATAGTGCCACTACTGTGCTAGAAATTCTGTTGTTAGCACAATCACTAGAGATCAAGGTAAAACTGATTTACACCATTGTCTCCTGGAATTTCATTGTCTTGGGACCAAGCTTAATTGCTTTAGGGTTGGAAGGAGCTAACCTGTCCCAAAGCATTCTGAACTCCTTTCTTTACTAAAAGCAGAAATGATGTTGCAAGTCAGCGTGTGATGGAAATGAATGATTTATAGTTTGTTATTGGACTCCTGAGTCTATTTTTATGCTTCTGCACTGTTTCCTTTTCCCTGTATTCCTATGAAGTTTATTTTTAAAGACCTACCCAATTTTGGAGATGAAAAATGTTACTGAAAAATATTCTTCAAAAATAGGCTTCTAAACACTGTTAGCATGAGCTTCAAAGTCAGCTGTTTGTTTCAAGAGTGTGAAACTTGAAAAAAACAAAAAAAACAAAAAAACAGGTCAGTCTTGAGCAAACTTTTGAATGGAATAATTTCTTCAGAGTTGATTTCAAGGAGATTATAATTCCCAAACTTCCTGTTTTCTGAAGGCATTTAAATGCTATGTCATCTTACGTTGGCCAAATAGCATTTAATAAAGGAACTTGAGGGTCAGGTTCTTCACTGTCTCATGGATGCACACTCCTGTCCTTACTGGGCATACTGGTGTGATGTGTGTACCTCCTGAGATTATAAGCAATGTTCTCATTTTTCTTGTTACTTTTGATCGGGATGTACAATAGCTTCCATTCTGCCAGCAAATGGAGAAGTGCAGTTAACACCATCTCTTTGTATGCGGAAGAAATTGTCTGAGGAGCAGCCACAGCCACATCTCAATTGGCATAAATGGCAGGTCAAAAATTGTAAATATTGTTCTTAACGTTTTACATGATATGTATTTCTGAAGAGTATAAATTTAAGTGTTACATTAAAAACTCTCTGGTCTTTTTCCAAGAACCTGACTGCTTTACCTTTAATACATTTGAATGTGGAATAAATTTACACTGGAAGTAGAGACACTTGTATTCTGCCATGTGAGCAGAGTAATTACTGAAAGTACACAATGTAGTATTAGGTGTGAGGCTAGATTCTGATCCAACTAAAGTGTGATGTAAACTCCACTGAATTCCAGAAAAATAGCTGGGTGGTGATTAATTCAACAGAACTGTTGGAATTCAAAGTCGTGGAATGAGACTTCAGTATTCAAAGTGGGAATGATTTTTTCTGATATGCACGAAAGGGAGAAGTTTAATTTCAACACTAGGTTTATGACCAAGCAAGAAGTCCTGCTGGATTGCTATCTTCTCCAAACCTTCCTTGGAAATGCGGTAATTTATCACTCTTTAATCTTCTTAAGTATCATAATGAGCTACCACAGTTGTGGGTAAGGGAATATGAGAGAGATGCTCTGCTGTTAGCATCTGATGATCAATGACTTGATGGTGTTTGGTCTAGTTACTGGGAGACCTAATTTATATGGCATTAGAATTAGGCTTTTATTTTGGAAACCAAAGCAAAGCTTGGTAATGTCAATCTCTCAAATGATTATTCTAGAGAATATTAAGCCTTATAGTTTTTAATTAAAAATATTGAAGTGTTTGTCGTTCTGCTGATCTCCTGAAAAAAGGCACTCTTTATGGTTTCATCATTAGAATGAACAATTCAAGTTTCTGTTTAATAAAAAAAGTTACTTTCCTTGTAAGTTTTAGGCATTCAGTAAGGTCTTGTATTGATCTAATTGCAACTACCTTATTATTTCTTTTTTTCTTTTTGTAGTACAAATATACAAAACTAAAACAAAAAATGATAACGCGTGGTTCCATTTCAGAACACCATCACAATAAACCTGTATGGTGACGGCAGTAAGATTTTCAGATTGTTTGATATCACTTACTATGCAAAATCTTGGGAAATTTATGGTTTTTCTTCATGATCATGATGACTAGTATGAAATGATGCTTATGAACTTAAGCTTCTTCAAATTTTCTGCTTAAAATTACTTAAAAGTATTTATACTTAATTTTCAGTTTTGTTTCTCCTCCACTATGAGTTTTCAATACTTGTGAGCTCAGTGACAATGAATTGCTGTTCACTTTCACAGCTATGTGTAAGATTTCTAGCTGACTTCATTTCTACTCTGGGAAAATTGGAATTAGAAGAAATAAATGTTGAGAAGCTTGGGAAAGTCTAGGAGGCAAGGACTGTTCAAGGCATTTTCAGCAGACTGCTGAAGCAAATTCAAATACAGCTTTAAGGTCACAAAAATTTGAAAGAAAAT